AAAATGGCAGTGACTCCTCACTGCTGGCCTATAGAGCGACTGTAGATTGGATATGGAAAATAAATATGGGATTTTGTTGACTTCTGCTTCAGAAAAATGAATCTTCAAGCCATCCTTATTGGTAAGGGTTGATGACAATTGTGGAGAGTGAAGCATAAACATTTTGAAGTAGTGCATTCAAGAGAAGATTTAAGAATAATTGCAATAGGGACTGATCAGTCTTTATGTGTTCGGTGTAGTAATGGAAAGAATAGAGCGTACGAAGAGCTGATGAACTGCGAGACGTATCTCTGCAAAACATCTCTGTTTGTCTCTGAATGCACTTAAATTTGAAAACTCTTTGATCCCAAAGTCTTAATTTCTGGATAACTCCAGCATCAGTCACGGGGCTCATCTTTTATTAAAAGCAGAATGTTTTTTTACTTGGAAAGAGTTGAAACAGTAGTGAAAAAAACTGTCCGGATCATTTCTGCAAGTGATAGATGTAAACTAGGAATTTTGTTGTAAAAACACAACTTAAGCAATAGAATATGCGGAGCAAAATGGTGTTTGGTAACAGCTCTTTATGAGAAGAGATGTCGAGATAATCCATCATTAATGTCATCCTGAAGGAAGCTGGTGATAAAAAATGAGAACAGTCACCTTCCATGAAATCAAAGCCAATGTGTTGGGTTTTTTTGTGTGTGTGTGTGACGTCCAAACATTTAATTTGCTGGATCCAGACTTGCTTCCTTTTGGCCGGCTGTTCTAATGTTGAGCCATCTGCCGCATGACCCACGTCATCAGGCCAGCTCACATCTGCTGGATGTGTAAAAAAAAGTGGAGAGACAATCTCTTGGATAAATTGTTCATCTATTGTGGGTTGTAGTCCATATGCATGTTCTGTATAAGCCACATCAAAGTCAGCGGCAGTCTTTCACTCAGCTCCACCTCACTGACAAAGCATGACAGATATGTTGCTGGGTCTCCACTACGGGAAACCCTGCACTACGGACAGAACATAAACACCCAAATTTCTGAATGACCCCGAATCAAAGGCAGACTTACACTACACTGACTGATGTGTTGTAATGAAGCATAGTTGTGGGTGGTAAGCCTGGGAAGGTGAAACCATTCATGGATCGTGTGATCTATTAACAAGAAGCAGACACAGTGAGGCACAGTGAAACTGGTTTACACTGTCTTCAATTACACAAAAGTTTAAACCCACAACGGCTTTGATGGTAATCCAAAAATGTTAATCCAAATTGTTCTACACACAAGATGTAAAATGTTGTAACTACAGATTACCGTACTGCTCGGATGTAGTTGTGCCAATTTATTTGATTTTGAACCTGTGTCATTTCAGTATAATGCACTCTTCATCGCATCTGGCACAACTCCAGTGCATATCAAGAGAAACATGGCAAATAGTTAAAAAAACAAAACAAAACACTGATTTCCTCATTTTAGGTTTTAACTTGGTGGTTACATTGACTTTAATGATGGTGAAGAAAAACTAAGACAAGGGAAAAACTGAGTTGATTTAAAAGATGTGAAACATCAGTTTTCTCCATCTAAACATTTGTGTCACGGGTAAAGTGACGTAGCAACAAAACTAATAAGCATAAAACCAGAAAATGGCCACGCAAGAGACGTTAAGTTTGGGAGTTTGGGTTAATTAAAAACAGTTTAGCTCTGATTATGCTTGCAATTGCCAGTAATTGCTACAACACATACTTCAGGAGGTAAGAAAACCTATGTTGTGTCATTGCTGATTTCACCAAGACAATCCTAAACCATATTCTGCACAGATTTTTGCGGAATTACTTAGTTGTAAATGCGTGTGGCTGCTCAACTGGCCTTCTCACAGTAGTTTTGGTATATTACCAAACCCCAAATATCGCAAGTGAGACCAGGGATGTTGAGTAGCTGAAATCTTGTATGAAGTAAAATAATAATGAAAAAAATAAGATTTCATTTTACAGATGACAATAGTTTGCAACGTCAGTTCATGGAACCCAAAACACGCTAGCATCCATGTTTGCTTCCCTGCAGTCAGCTTCCTTCTGTTTGCTGACACACATCTGGCACAACTGGCAAATGCTTGACTTTCGAGAAAATTAATTTTTTGATCACAAAAGCCGGTGAACAGTGCGTCCAGCAACAACAAATGGCAATCTTAAGTCTTAATCAGTCTAGTCTGGAGTATCTAAGACCTAAAATGTGTGTTTACCTAACTGGCCACAGCTATTACACTGTCTAGTTGCCATGAATTCTATTTTATACTGGGGCATATGCAAAATCAGATTACCTCAGCCAGTGTAAACATGGCTATAATTTTAAAGTTTTTATCAGTTTTTCTCCAGCTCCAAGTTGTTTGAAAGTGATGGAAGACCTTATCCAGTCTAGTGTGAATGGGTTCTAATTTCCACTATACACTTTTTAATCTTCCCTCAAGTGCAAAGTGCAAATCGGCTGTGCTTTGCTTTCACCGTTGTCACTCACAGGTGATATTTTCTATGCTGTGATTTTACAGACGGCTTAAATTCTTAAACATTTGAGAATCTGTCTCTGTTAAAGTATTAACACAGCAGCATAATAGTCCAAATGTGGTTACCGTGTGGAGGCTCGGGTGATGATAGCGTGTCAGAACACAAGATAATCCCACGGGAAACTATTTCCTACTAAAAGAGCCAAGACAGCAATCACAGATTTTGGCCCAGTTTCTTTAGCCTGCTCTCTCTCTCTCCCCCCCCCCCCGTGAATCCCAACTCAAATATTATTTTTTTAATATCTTTTTTTTCTTACACTTATCAGTGACATCCACTAACATGCAATATGCTCACACCGTCATGGACCAGAAGCTTTGCTGCCCTCAGTCTTCACATCACCTTCCTTCCAGCAGGATACCGTCACGTTTAATCTGCTGTGGTTTCTGCAGATGTTTCCACACTTATCAGCACTAGTGCATCAACACGCCGTGTTCCTCCCCTCTGACGCTTCTGCAGACTATCATTTGAAGTGTCCTTTCTTTCCTGTTTGCATGTATTAAACTGATGACTGTGTCTGAAATGCCGCAGACCAACCAAACCCATCTCTCTTTGCTCTGGTCCTCTGATTCACTGTCAGCCCATTTTGCCATCTCTTTCGGGACTTTTTCAGCTGTTTCATCAGGAATAATGAAGCCAGACAAAGTCCAGCTGGGCACCACCCAGTGTTTGTGGAATAAATCAAAGTTTTTGCTCTGTGTATTTTTTTTCCTTCCTTCCGTTCTTTCTTTCTTTCTTTTTTTTTTTGCAATGGTTATTTGAACATAAGAACATAATCTTCCATTTATCCCACAAAGGACAAAAAAACTTCCCAGTGACTGAACTATTTACTCAGTGCAAGTTTATGTAATGCAGACTTACTCCAATTAATTATCCAAACCTTGTTTCCCACATTAAACTTGTCTGAAAATGGACTGAGGTCTTTTCAGACGTGTTTCTGGTAAAAGCATCTGTCTAGTAAATCAGTGCACGCTCAGGTGACAACAGAGGCTAAAATAGTATCACCTCCGCATCTACAGTTACATCAGACAAGTCCAATACTTCCTCCCACTCCCCAGTTCAGTTGGTCGCCCATTGTCTCTGACAAAAGAACTTGACACTTTGAATTGGAGGCTGTGATGGATCGCTTTTGAGGTCAGAAGCCTTTACCAGTATTCTGGTTTCATCCCTGCCCAGCCAGGCTTCCAGCCTTCAATAGAAGCTTCCAGCTTGTGTGAAGACTAAAGTAGTATTAGGTGAGCTATTGTGTGCAAATGATTTTGATTGCTGGCAGCTATTTTTTTTTTTTTTGTTATTTTAAATTTTGTGTTTGATTTACATGCACGTGGTTCACATTGGAAAGTTATCATGTTTAACGCTATAATCAATGATCATGACCAAGCACCTCACATTATTTTATGCATGTAAAGTGCGCACAATAAGAGCAATACATCACCGAAATCACGACAATGAATCACTCCCTGAGTGAATTATTCACGTCTGCTCTACCTGCCTAAAACTGAAAGAAGCCATTGTACCAAGAAATACATTATCTAACCAACATGAATATAATTTATCCCCATGCAAGACTCGTAACAACAAAGGAGCCTCTATAATTCTTGCATCAGTAACCTTATCACCGTCGTCATCCCTTGCATCATGAGGGATGTCTTTCCCAGGGAGAAAACAATAGTTATCAGATTTTTTTTTTTTTAATTCTACGTTATTCCGGAATGCTGGTTAACCCTAAGCTGCTTTTTTCTCTCTCTTTAACATTTGGCGGGGCAGTTTTTAAATTTTAAGCACAGGTACAAATTTTTCCCCAGACAGATAAATTAATTCTCTTTTTAAAGTAAAGCGTTCCACCTCACTTCCAAAAGAAAGCCTTTTTTCTCCTTCTTTTTTGGACTCGCTAAAGTGACTTTTCCCCTTCCCGTTTCCTTTGCGTGATCGCAGTAAAAAAGGGTTAAGTGCTCAGTTAAAATACACAGTGTATAATTTTATAGCTTTTTCCCAACGGAGCTCCTGGTGCCGGTGTCCAGACGACAATGCGAGAGCAGCAGCGCAGCGCACAGATCAGTTTCATTCTTTGTCAGTTGTGAATAGGGGCGGAGGAAGCAAACTCATTAGAATCCTATAAAAAGAAAGTATCCGAGATCATAAAACAGCCGGCTACAGGACTAAGCGCTCACTCGCAGCCAGACTGAGGCACAGTGGAGACCTCTTGTCAAGTTTCTGTCTGACCCTCAGAGCATCGGCATTTTAACAGTTTAGGTTCATACAAAAAATAATAATTTTTTTTACTCGTCCACCTGGCTCCCCGTGTTTGTTTGTGTCGTTGCTTTTAAAATAATCTTCAATGGCAGTCCTTCTTTTAATTATTTGACCTTTTCAGGACCAGAAACTTGGCATCATCATCATCACCACCACTGTGTGTACTGCAGTCTGACAAGCGTGACGCATGGACACTGCCAGGGCGCACACGTCTCATTGAGAAACTTATTTTTCTTTTCTTTTTTACTAAATTATTTTTTTCTTTTTTCATATATTTCAGTATTTTTTGAGGATGGTCGTCTCTGCTTGGAATAGATATTGTGTTGTAGTGTTTCTCGTCACTGCGCTCAGGACTGGGACATCCCAGGTATCAGAGGCGCGCCCGAAGGCGAATTCCATCAAACCCGGTCAGTTGGAAGAAATACCGACACCGGCAACCAACCGATCTGCAACAGTCACCAAGAAACACAACATCCAGGTAACTTCAGTTATTTCACTGTCTGAAAAAATATCAGCGGAGATGTCAGAGCACTTTTTGCCCTGTATTACTAAGAAGACAGTTTATGAAATGCAACAAAAACAATCGTAATAGCAATAACTTTTCTTCCACGAGTTCCCCTTTTCCAATTTATGCTTGCTGAGTGGGAAACATTTTCCTTTGCACAATTAAAGGGTAAAATAGTAATATACACCTTCAGAAAGCTGCGTCATGTGTGGATCGTTATTGGAAATTGGGAGGATTGGACCCCTCATAAATCCTAATTGCCTTTCAAACCTGACGCCACAGTCGGGTGCAGTACACTTCCACAGTAAATCATTAATGCCGTCAGAAAAGTGAGAAAAAGTTAACACTTGGGGTAATTTTCTGTCTGGATCCGCGCGTCATTAAAGCGGTCCAGGCGCTTGCTGGGATTATGAGATTCTGTGGGGCCACTCTTACCAACCACTTTATACCCACTCAAAGGGGTATCGATCCCCACTGTTTCAACAAAGTGGATTCCTGTAGAGAGTGCTTGTGAGAGCAAATATGAGATTAAAAAAACTGTGAACATCTAGACCTGTGGATTGGCCAGGAAAATTCACAATCCAGCAAATAATTCCTGAGAGGTGGATGTTTAAGTCATCTTGGAAGGCAGGCGTGTATGTATAAAATAAGCATAGCAGACAGTGTGCGAGCAGTAGATGGCACTGCCACATCTCCAGGACACCCCTCCCTCCAGTGGTCTCACCTGCTTCGTTTGCATTTGGCCTGTACACCTTGCCTTTTTTGATCGTCTTGCATATCAGTGAAATGCTTAGTTTTGAAAAAGGAGGCATCGAACTGAAACAGAAAAATTATGGAAAAGCTGTTGTGCCAGACCACAATTTTGAGCGTCTGCTTACTTCAATGCCTTTGCAATGGTTTGGAAGAGTGGACTGAGGGAAAACAATATGTGTGTGCAGAAACCACCACACTGTTACAAAAGTATAATGTCATGGTGTGGTGGGTCCAAACCAGGATGGCTAATATCGTTTATGAGGTTTTCCAGAGTGGTAAAGAAACAGCCGCAGCTCGGCCTTGGCGAAGACTTGTGGCTCGACGATGGTGAGCAAGCTGCACTGTCCTTCTGCCTCTCATCATGCAGTGGCTATCTGTAAATAGCTGTATTAAATAGTGGAATAAATCAAAGTCTGATTTGTGTTTCACTTTGTGTTTCAGTAAAAGTGTCCAGCACAATTAATTTAGAAGAGAACAACAGGATGCAGTTTTTGCAAGTTTTTTGGGGTAAATCTGCAATATCTGTACCTTAGATTGCACAATTACACACACACACACACACACACACA